ACATACTGACAAGGTGGAGAAGCGATGTTATTAGGCCACACTTGAATCGGTTCCATCAAGTTAGTTACCCAACCATGACGCCTGAGTATAAGACATACAGGAGCATGTTGAAGTATTTTGACATGGCTTGTGATATAGCACTGGGCACTAGCGGGAAGGTTCAATATGTTAAGCATAATTTGAAGAAAATGGTGCATGATCTTCAAAACTGGGACGACGAAATGATCGTGCCAAACCAAGACCAGGATGACTCAGATGACAGTGTTGATGGCACAACTCTACGAGATCCCCAGTACACTAATTCACGTGGCAGGCCGCGTTTGAATCGATATAGAGGAAGAATTGACTACTACTTTACAAGTTCACAGCCGCGTGGTGTATTTGGAGCTAGTAATGGCGCAAGAACTGGTGTTAGAGGGGGTGGCAGGGGTGGTGGCAGGGTTGGTGTCAATCGTGGTAGTAGAGGTGGCGGTAGAAGTGGTGGACGTAGGGGTAGGGGTAATGGGCAAGGCAGAAGTACAAACGTTGATTATGATGGTTCCCTAGGTGTGAATGAGGTACAATTTTGCGACTACATTTGATTTATTACTTAAACATATCATGTTTTCTTATAGTGTTTGTTTGATTTTAATTGCAGCAAATTGACGCTACACAATCGCAATCAAGCTTGTTTGATCTCAATGCCTATCCAGACTTGGAAATATAATAAAGAATATTGCTGAATCTTGGAGTTCTCAGTTGGCCTAATTGCATTGTTGTTTTTTTGGGGTGTAGAACTTTTTGATTTTGAAGAAATTTTGCTTGTTTTGATTATGAAACTTAAACATATCAAATTTTTTTCTTATAGTGTTTGTAATGGCATATTAGCTACTACACAATTTTGGATTAGTTGCGTTGTATTCTAACAAAGAGAGGTATTTGTAATAGGATAATTTAGCTTAATATAATTGTCTTCATATAGATGACTAGAGAATACAATAAGGATAAAGCGTAGCTATCTTCGTAGGTATTGTTATTCTGTTGAATAATTTGGGTAATGACAATACTCAACAATATTTATAATATTGAATACAAGCTCTAATAAATTATTCTCTTTTTTTATCAACTCACTAATAAAACTACTTCTAATATTGAATCCAACCAGAAATGACCATAGACCCGCTGGTTGATCAAATCTCCAATTTCTTTCCCGTTCATACTCACACACGCAGGTTCGAATCCCCATTTTAACATTTTTCTTTCCCTTTTGTTTTCATCCGAAGAGGAGGTTTATTCGTGATGACTTTTCCAATTCTCTATGACCAAATTGTATTAAGATTGTCAAGAGTTTTTTTTTTTAATTTTTTTCTGGGTACTATTACATCTGAAAGAAGATGAGGAGGTGTAATTTCCAGTCCTCTTCCCAGTAGTTTAGGTTTTAGTCGTATTTTGAGGAGGTTTTAGTCGTTTAGGAAAATGTATAAAATAATTTTCATAAACATGAAAAAACTATAACAAGCAAAAATCACAAACGATAATTCCACTATCCTTTAATAAGTATAACAATAATACAAGGAAAAAAAACAGAAAAAAGTATAAGAAAATCATATTAATCCATAAATATTTTAATGACAAGGGTTGAACACAAGCGTGCATGAAAAACCTAAGCATTAGAT